CGCGGCCGCCCCATCCCCGCGGCTCGGCCGGGAAGGAGTGCAGGGAGGACGGCGCGCGGCGGGCTCGCTCCGGCAGCCTGTGCGGCGGCGGCGGCGGCGGCGGCGGCGGCGGCAAGCCCTGCGCGCTCCGGAGACGCTTCCTCCTCGTCCGCCTTCGCCGGAGAGTTCCTCTGTGCGGCGCGGGCGCTCGCGGGGAGGCGCGGAGGGGAAGGGAGGGGACGGGCGGAGGGGAGCGAGGCGGGCGGGGAGGGCTGGAGAGGTTGGGTGCGCTTGTGCGTTTCACTTTCCCATTGTGAAAGTGGGATGCAACTGGCCCCTTCCTCATCCTCTTCCTCCTCCGCCCTCCGCCTCTCGCCCGCCCTCCCTCCACGCCCATCTCCCCTCCCTTCTTGATTCGGTGAGATCGGGAGGAGGGAGGTCTCGTAATTTGGGTTACTGTGTAGGTGGCCTCTTTCATCTATTCATAACAAAGCTGAGCTGCCTGCCGCAGCCGCCGAGGCTGCCACCATCGCCCCTTGCTCGTCCCGGGTTCCCCCGACACCGGAACCGCGCACCGAGCTGGCTCCCGCGCTCTCCAGCCCGCAGGGCTGCTCCAACGCCCGTGTTTTGTTTACGAGAGCAGCTCCGGGCAAACCCGAGGCTTGCGGAGCCAGGACCCAGGGTCGAACGGGTTGCAGAGGAGGCCCAGGGCTCGAGCCCCTGGGAGGCTGCCAGGGCGGCTGACAGGTGTGGAGCGGCGGGAGGGAGGCCTCAGAGATGCGCCCAGAAACTGGGGCCAAGCGGGAGGCGGCTGAGGGGGACCAAGACGCCCCTGTGACAGGGGGTGGGTTTCCCTGGGTCAGAGTGAGGTGGGAGAAAGGCGCCACACGCTTGTTGTGGACAATCCCTCGGGCCAGAGCTCTCATATTTGAAAAGGCTCCCTAGTCTCCCTTGGCAACGGAGTCCCAGGCTCTCAGATCTAGCACTTAGAAAGTTCTGCTCACTATCTAACCCTAATGACAAAAGCTAACGTTTATTGAGAACTTGCTGTGTTCGGGGCGTAGTTCTAAAGGCACCATGTCGAATTTGATTCACTTAAAGCTCAGGACAACGGTATTGATTAGTGACTTTTACCATCCCTATTCAGCTTTTCAGAAAGGTCTTGGAGAAGCTATGGAACCCGCCAGGGTACAAATATTAGCAAATAGCACTGCAGAGATTCGAATCCGCATCTCACACCTCTTACAGGCTTCTTGCTAGTCCAGTGCCACCTGTGGCCACTAAAACACTCCCCAGAAAATAAAGACAAAAGACGTTGGGCTCAGCAGCCAGGGCTCCCATCACAAGAGGCTGGTGCTCTCGTGTTTCCAGAGGGTCTCCCTCTGCCATGTTTCCCACTTCATCCAGGTAGCAACTGTCAGCTGGGTTGTCCCCCCACCCCCAAGCCACCGAGAATTTCTGGCACAGAAAATCACTGTGCTCTGGGGAGCAGGCAGCCTCACGCTTTCTCAGAAGTGGGCTTCCCAGAGGCAAGCTTTGGTACCTCCAACTCTGTGGCGAATGGAGGACCTCATGGGTCCTTAAGAAATGCTGTGCATTCCTTCCTAGATCTTTTCCGCACCATGGACTGCAACTGGTTGCAGTGTGTTCTTCCCTTCTTTCCTCCAAGCCAGCCCAGCTCTGGATAGGACTCTTTTTTTTTAAAGGGGGCATGCTCTGAATGGGCTTCCTCACAAGGCAAGTCTTACAGAGCCAGTCACCTGCTGTAGGTTTTACACTTCTACAGAACTCCTTAGATCTGCCCCCCCAAACGCTCCCCCCACCCCGCGCTGCTGAGAGGGGAGCTTGGACAGGCAGAAGGGAGGAGAAGGAAGTGGGCAAGAAGCTTGAGAATCGAATCTAGATATGCAGCTGAAATACTAGGGGCGGGTATGGCTCAGTGATAGAGAGTTAGAGGCAAGCCTTGACTTCCATTCTCTCTGCTGTGTACACACACACACACACACACACACACACACACACCCGAATCCTTCAGCAGTGGCTTTTAAAAGCTGGGATCCATGGCCATCCTTCCACGTGCAACCTTCTCTTTGGGGACTGGCTATTGTCGATTCTGTTTGCCGATGGGCAGTGCCAACGCTCTCAGATGTTAGATGGAGATCACCTCTTCTGTAGTGACAGAAAGTAGCAGAGAGAGAAAAGGAACGGGGAATGTAGACCTAGGTTGATGTTAACATGGACCTCTTAAGTGAAGCAAATCAAATGGCTTACTTGCTTTTAAAAATCCCCTCCCCACCCCCATTCTCCACCACTTGGAATATTTTAAGAATTTTTGCGTTGCTAAAATCAGAAAAAAAAAACAATAACAAGATAACTCTCTCCCAGAGTGCAGTGACCCCTCTCCAACATAGTAGGGCACACATGAGTCTCCCTATAGTCACTGTGGCTGAGTCACCAATGGACTGTGGTGCCATTATAGGCCGAGAAGCAGCATTCAATCCCATTTTGGAGATAGTCTTACTTCGATGGTAACTGAGCCATTTCCCCAAACCCCACAGAGTTGCTACAGTCAGTCACAGACCCTCCTGGAAGCTATTTGGATTAAACAGACTCCATGGCATGTCACATTGGTCACCACTCAATCCTTTGCTGCTGCATTTCAAAAAAAAAGAAGAAACAACACCCTACAAAAATTATCAGCAAGTCGTGGAAAGGGTTTGCATGGTCTCTGCATCTCCTTAGTTTGCTGAGATCTAAGCAGGCTTTCTCTCTCCTCCTGTTTAATTGTGTGCAGACTACTGTAAGTGGAAGAGACCGAAATCCATGCTAACTTTTTGGCATGAAAAATGTAGGCGATTAAGAAACCTGGAAACAGGTTCTTTGCTGATCCTACCCCATTTTGAGCAGATGCCTTTGCCCCTTCCCAATTTTCTCGTGTACTAAAGCTCCACCTTCAGGACACACATTCACATTTGAAAAGTGTGGGAAATATGAACAGCTCTAAATAAATATTTAGGCACGGGGTCCGTATTTCTTTAAAGGCTTTCTCTTAGACACACCCATCTGGCAGAGGTTATACAGCTAGCTCATCTACTGCAAAGCTTCTCTCGCCAACCGGCCTAGCCCATCCATCTTGTTGGGTGTCCCTTATGGCACAGTTCGGAACTTCTTGTAACACAAATGGCTAAAAACCAAACAAAAGAAGGTGGTACAGATCCATCCTCCAGACAGACCTGCTACCACGGAAACGGGCAGTTCAGACGGGTTCTGAGCAGTTGTACGCATAGCCTTTGCTAGCTGGAAAAGTCTTCGTAATGAGAAAATATCCACACCCTCAGGCACTGGAGGCAATCTGGGTTATCCAAGGCATCTGCAATCAGACCCATTTCTGCTGGACAGGGCTTTATAAATTCTGTGGTTTCCTGCTGAGACTTGGGATATGAAGAGCTGTTCAGTAGGCAATTGGTCACAGTCACAAGATGGTTATCATTCACATTTCACTTTTCTGTTTTTCTTTCTTCTTCTTTTTAACTGACCATGGTTTAAAGGGCTGGTGGGGTTGATGGGAACCAGAAGCGACTGAGAATGTTAGTTCTGGTGATCAACAGATTCTTTACCCACTCTTTCTATGTAGCTGCAAACACCCTGCACAGAGGAGCAAGTCCATACAGAACACATTTGGTTTGGCCATCTTGGATTTCAGACAGGCCACTTTTCCTCTCCACAACTCTGCTCATATCTATGTGGTCCTTATCAAAGTGTCTGGCCCCTTTTGGTGACTGACAGGAAAATGAATTGAGCCAGCTTCCTTCCTGGTCTGCGGATTAGCAGATGGTTGAGAGTACATTAGAGGAAGTACTGTTTTATAGTTCCAGGTGATGCTGAGGGATGAGTTGCCCAGAGTTCAGCCAATAGGAAAAGTTAGTCGAATTCAGTGCAGTCACCAGACATGGCTGAGGGATCTGGCTGTGATGTCTGTCACTTCTTTGATTGTCGGAGTTGAGCTGACTAAGGTGACTAAGCTGGTCAGGGTGGGCCTGCCCTTCCTCCCCCAACATTCTTGTCTTTATCCTTCTCAGTGTTCCATGATCCACAGACAAAGACCATCGGTCATGGGTAGCCAAGCTCATGTGCTATAGACCCTTGAATGAGTTCTCAAGGTGTGACTGAGGAGTGCAAGACCCGGTCCTGTCTGTCACTCAACATGGCCTTGGATGGATGGATGGATGGATGGATGGATGGATGGAGAGTAGCCTTCCATGCTTGGTGACAGTACCCAGCTGTTAGTTCCCGTAAGAAGGCTTGGTAGTGTGATGGGCTCACCTCCAACATTTCAGTTGTCAGCTTTCTCTGTCAGGACTCAGCAGAGTTACATTACATATGGCTTCCCAAAAGAGTAACACTTACAGACAAAAGAACAGAACAGTAGACTAGTCTTCGCTTAGATTCCCAGCATTGATCTCCACTTTTAAGCCATATACGGGCCTTCACTATTATAAGGGCCTATGGAAAGGGTGACAAATGCCAAATCTTTTCAGAGGCTGTAGAGTTCAAGGCATTATTACCCTGGTACTCGGTGCTTTGTTACAGAAGCAGTGTGCTGAGCTGGTTAAGATTTTGTCAACTTGATACAAACTAGCATCATCTGGGAAGACAGAATGTCAATGGAGAACTTGCCTCCATCAGACTGGTCTGTAGGCACATCTGCAGGGTATTTTCCTGATTTAAGGACTGATGTAGAAAGGTCCAGCCCACTGCAGGTGCTGCCACTCTTGGGCAAAGGGTCCTGAGTTGTATGAGCAAGCCGTGGAGAGCAATCCAGTAAGCGTTGTTCCTCTATGGTCTGTGCTTCAGGTCCTGACCTCACTCCTCCTCATGATGTATGTAAGCTATATGATGAAATTAACCCTGTCCTCCCCGGGTTGCCTTTTGTCACGGTGTTTATCACAGCATTAGAAAGCAAACGAGGGCTCATATTCAGTAACGTGAAGTTTCTTCAAACACTCGCTATGCTTATGGTGAAGAATCTGAGGCTGCCCTTGATTGACAGCAAAATACAGTTAAGTCATCAGCGACCATAGAGTTTTCTAGAATCTGCAGGAAGTAGGCAACTCGTCAGCTAATTACATCTTCAGCTTTGGGACACTTCTGCAACTTGGGTGGTCTCTTGAAATTAAAATTGAATTTATTTAATTTTAAGTTAATTAAATTAATTGGTTAAATTAATTTAAATTAATTTTAAATTGAAATTAATTTTTATAAATAAAGATTTAGTTTTGAAATGTGTGGCTATCCTTGCTTGTATTTTTCTTATTGTTCCTTTGAAATGAAGCACGAAAAGATTATTGAGGGTAAACACAAAATACTGATCCCTCTTAGAAAAAAAAAAAACATCCTTTCATGTCTCTTCTCTGCCATCGTGTCTCAGAGACTTGCTGTTAGTGTAATCCTAGGCCCCTGAGTCCCTGGATAACGGGCTGGCAGCTTGGCACATCCTCATTCAACGAGAAGAGCTGCCATAAAGCAGACCTTCATATTAATAATAACTCAAACTCTTAAACTGAATAGCAGAAGATAAGATTAACAGGCAGATATCTCCACAGTCACTTGTGCTTCCGCTTCCTCCAGATTCTGGTGGGGAGATTCTCGCGGCTGACAATGAAGTGGCTGGACTTCGTGGCGAGCAATCTGGCGCTCTCTGCAGAGCTCACGCTGCTGAGTCCATGGTCCCTGCCCTCGCTACAAAATATTGCTAAGGAGCCTGGGAGGAAGCAATTGGAATCGGTTCTGAGTATGGGCGGTGGCTGCCCATGTGGTTCTGGGGAAGAGCGGGGAAGCATTTCTTGTCCTCATCCACACTGGGGAAATACTGGGGACATGGTGGTTCCACTTGCATTCCCAACACTAAGGGTCTTGTGCACCGAATCCCAAATGTAAAGGCTGAACACTTTTCTTGCTCTTCTGCTCCTTTTGACACCCCCCCCCCGTTTTTAATGTGTATGTGGGGGAGCGTTGGATGTGCACGTGTGTGCATGCAAATGAAGGTCAGAGGTCAACATTGGTGTCTTCCTCAGACAGCTCTCCACTTTTATCTTTTGAGGCATGGTCCCTCACAGAATCGGAAGCCCACTGATCCTGCTGGACCAGCTGATCAGTGAGCCCGAGGGATTCATGTGTTTCCCATCCCACTCGTCGAGGGGTTACAGACATACACCATCACAGCCAGTATTTGCATGGGTGCTGGGGAGCCAAACTCAGGCCCCCAAGCTTGTATAGCAAGCACTTTCCTGACTGAGACATCTCCCAGTCCTTTAAAAAAAATATTGCATTTTATATCTATAATTATCTGCTTGTGTGTATATCATTTACTGTGTGTATGCCTAGTGCCTGCAGAAGCCAGCAGAGGGCACTGAATCCCTGGGAAGTAGAGTGACAGGCATTTGTGAGCCACCGTGTAGGCCTTGGGAACCAAATCGTGGTCTTCTGCAAGACCAGTCATCTTTTCAATCCCCCTGCTCCCTGCTTTTTAAGATAGCATCTTGCTGTATAGCCTAGGCTGGCCTCGAGGTAGAAATTCTTCTCCCTTAACCTCTCTAGTGTTAGGATTACAGGCACATGCAATCATGCTTGGCTTCTTTTTGTCTTGTCAAAAATCTTTTACTAAAATGTGACTTAACACGAAAGAAGGGGGGCAAGCTGTGCCCGTTTCCTGTATACAGCACCATAAGTTCAGTCAGGATACCCCCGGAACTTAATCAACCTCTCCCTTCTCCAATTCTTTCTACGTATTTCTTCTTGCCCATCTGTGCTGCTGCACAGGCTTCAGTTCTCCCTATCATCTCTGCTTCCTTCTCCCCACCATCCCGTTTGATACTGGAAGTCTGCATCTATGGATATAGTCCTTACCTTTTGGTTTCTGGTTGGATTCAGCCAATGGGAGGCCGGCCTTGTGGGAGACCCCCGGAGTGGAGAGGTAGAGTGAAGCTGGGGAACTTAGTCTCCAGATCCCTACCTGATAATCTGTGTACTAGCTGTGATCATATCCTCTAAAAGGTCACTGGTTCCACACAGGGTGTCCTCTCTCAGTGCCCTGGTTTACTTGGTACCCCTCACCCTGCTCCTTGTACCCGTGGCATGTAGCACCTCCTATTGACTGACGCTGGCTTTGGTTTGCCCCCTTTACCACGGCCATACCTTTGCCATTGCCCCGCCTCTTTAAAGCTTCCGCTCTTATCACTTGCTTCCTGCCAGAATATAACCATCAACTCAACTTACCTCAAAGAAGGATCCAGAAGAGATATGAGATGGCCCTTCAACAGGGACATGTGGCAAAGTACATATCTTTTATTTCCAAATGGTTGGTGCATCCAAATCTGGCAAGGGGGAAAAGGTACATTTCATTCTTTCTCCACCGCCTTTCCTAAACTAAATTCAGCCCATTGATAGAAACAAATGGAAACCCTACTGGGCAAGATTTTTTTTTCCAGTTAAAACATAAAACTAAAAGTACTTAAAAGTGAATCTGGACTACCGGGGACCAAGGGCTCAGGAGGTGGTGGGGGCACAGGCAGTTATGATCTCTGAAATACTGTTGAATGTTTGAAGTGTATTTTCAAACAAGACACAAAACCGAACAGACAGCTTTTTTTTTGTTTCTTCTTTAGACATTTTCTCCCCCAAGTCTGAACTCCAGCAGTCACCCCTATATAGTCTAGAAATGTCATGTCTATTCATGGTTACCAAAACAGAATTAAGAGGAGATCGCCAGACTTCTTCACCTCCAGACCTCGTCTTAGTTCACCCCATCCAATATTTAGAGATAAGTTGGAGTCTCTCGCTTCCTCCATAGCTCCAGCCACACTTGGGTAATAGGAATGGGTGCTCCTTTCAGCTCTAAAGATGGCATGTTTTAGAAGGTTACCCCCTGACCGCACCCCACCCCCTGCCCCACTGCTATGGCTTCTGTACTTCGCTCCTCAGAGCCAGCCAATCTGTAACATCCATTTCATCATCTATTGGACATCTCGAGGGTGATTAAATATTTACGGTGTCAAAGGTCCCTTTTCCCTCATCATGAAAGCTGCAAACTTTAGAGCAAAATGGAGCTCTAATTGTGAAGAAAGGCATAGACGCTTAGCGTTGGAGTCAAATAAAATAGCCGGAGAGGCATTTCTTGGGCTTTTTGGTTTGGTGGTAATGGTAGGGATGGCAAGGACGGTGGTAAAAAGGGCAGTAGGTCATCCTAGCCCGTGATCCTGCAAACTAGATTTCTTGCTGACTGAAAGACGGGAGGTATTGGGGTGTGCTGGGGCCAGTGAGCAGAACAGGGCTGAAGGAAAGCCTAATGGTTCTCCTAAAGACCATCAGGAGCCTCTGTGCCTCCTTCTCAACTGCGTGTAGGTGGGGTCTACACCCCACACTCATGATCCCTGTGTGCCCACGGATTCCTACCTCCTGGTGCTACCCCGGCTGCCTCAACTCCTAGCTGGTCCAATGTACAATTGAGCACCTGTGCTACAGAGCAGGTCACTGCAAGGTGGAGGCTTGCCCAAAGAGGAAAGAGGGACTGAAAGCCAACCAGCCCTGTGCTCACTAGTCCCTGCCCTCTGACACAGGGGCTGTCTGTGTCCAAAGGAAGAGAAGCCATTTTCTTTGTATCAGGATATAATGGCCCTAGTCAGGCCTCAATTCCAGACCCTATGCCTCCAGTTAGTAGTTGTGTAGTTAGGTAGCCTTGGGCTGTGTGAGCCTCAGCATCCTCATAGAAGACTGGGGGGGGGGAAGTCATGACTCACAGAGGGTGCATGAATATTAAATGAGATAATACTAGGGTGGGGGAGAATGTGTGTAACCCAATGCTTGGCTCACATGATCTGCTTAGTAAATAGTGACACTGTTACTATTATTGTTATTTGAGGCTGAGGCCCCAGTGCTATGTTAGGTCACTGTATTAATTTCCTATGATTTCTATAGTGAAGTCCCACAGACTGGCTGGCATAAACAACCCAAATCTTCCTAACTCTTAGTTGTGCTGTAAGCAGGACTGGTTTCTTTGCAGGCATCTAAGTCTTTCTACACTTTACCTTCTCTGTACCTTCATGTGGGACTCGTTTTCTTTTGGGGGAATTTTTGTTGTTCTTATTTCCCGTAAGAGTGAAATGCCTCATCCTGCAGGGAATCTCAAGCAGGAAGCTAAACAACTCAAGGTATCTTCAGGAAGTCCCTGAAACTGACTAGATTCACCGGTGGGCGGGTCCCACCAGGAAAAGTAATAAAAGCCGAGAGACCCAGTTAGAGAAGGAGAGATGAGCTGCAAAGAAGACTCTCAAATAAGCCAAGCTGCAGACTCTGAGACCAGACAGCTGCTTGGAAGAAGCATAAATCACCCAGGCTGCCTGGAAGAGGTGTACACCACCTAAGGCACCTGGAAAGGACACTCTCTAACCTGTTGAGCTGTGTGCAGGCTGTGCAGTGTGCTCCAGGTTCCCAGCTTTGTGACCTGTCACCAGTCCTGGGAGTGGGCTTTGGTGATGCAGCTGTCTTTGGGTCATTTCTGCTCCTGTAAGTGACCCCTCTTTCCCTGTATTCCCATAAGTAACCCCAATAAAACTTACTTCTTGTAGATTTGGTTTATTGCTTATGTTAATTGAGTTCTCAAATTACATGGGAATTAACATGTTCCTACCCCCCAGCCAGCTCTAACTGGTAAATAAAGTTGCTGGTGGCCAATAGCTGGGCAGGGAGACGAAAGCAGGACTTTAGATCTCCCAGGCAAGGGAACCACAGGAAGAAGGAAGAGATTCACCATTGCTGGGGAAGGAGAAGGTCCCAACCTGAGAAGTGCAGGACAGAGAGAGCTAACATGTGAGAGTTGGGGATTGTGGCCCAGGAAGGCTGCAGGCCTGGATCCATGGTGGCTAAGATGGAATATGGGTTTTAGGAACGTGTGTTAGGTCCAGGGAGATTTGTAAGTGCCCAGTCATTGCAAGTTTAAGGCATATTAAAGGAAAAAGCTGTGAGTGCCCTTCATGTGTGATAGCAAGAAGCACACGTGCAGCCACAGGTGGTTTAGAGTCGATTAAAGAACTACCACAACACTCACTGCCTCAGCAAGTCGGGCTTTCATGACTTTGGTGGTATCTGTACTTGGGTCTGCTGTGGGCTGCCTTTCTGGGGTTAGTAGACATATGTATAGCGTCTTCTCAGGAAAAGTTTTGCATTGGAACAGGAAGAAGGTCTCATCAGTGCAGTCAGACTTCAGCCTCTAAGGAGAGACACTGATATCAGCCATATTAGGATCACAAGATCACTTGATAAAGGGGTTCAAAGACGTTTCCGTTTGTATGTGTGACAGAGCCTAAGTAAAACCAAAGGCACACAATCTAGATGATAAAAAACACACGTACCTGGTCTCTTTAAAAACCCAGAGGTGAGAGCACACATGCCTTTAGGAAGACACATACTTAGTACCAGCATGGATGAGGGGCCCCAAGAAAGCAGGCATTAAACAAATAGTCTTGACCCTCAAGCCAACCCTTCCCTGGGTTTCTTTCCTTGTCATGAAACAAACTAACCAGATTAAACCAGCCTGTGGCAGAAGGGGCAGGGTATTCCCATGGCCTCAGAGTGCGAAGCCCAAGAGCGTGATTATACCTGACCCATGAACAGGCCCAGCTTGGCTCCTCCAGCTTCCGCCTTACCCAGCACATACAGGCTCATCATTTGGCTCTTACCCTAGACAGTGTTGAACATATCAACTATGTACTCAGGGACTGTCATACTTAGCTTAAGGGCTCTTAGACCAGAGTGAGGGATGTGACAGGAACTGGTTTCTGCAGGATTGGCCATGTTTCTTGAGCAAGCTGGGCCCTTTCCTGATGCTAGGTCTTCATGTTTTTGGTAATTTTACCTCCCTTGTTCCTTACTTTGTAAACTCCTGTTTGTCTGCCATTTGTTTTGTGTGAGCCTTTAAATGATATCAAAGCTCTCTCGTAGACTCTCAGCTCCTTTAAGAAAATGTCCATAGAGCTGAGGATCTAGTTCAGTGGGAGAATATGTGCTTAGCATGTTTAAGGCTCTGGAGAATGAGTGGATGGGTAAATATGTATGTATGCATGTATGTATGTATAGATGGATAGATGGATGGATGGACAGCTGGATGAATGGATAGATTAATTGATGAATATATAGATGTAGAGATGGATGGATGGATGGATGGATGGATGGATGGATGGATAGATAGATAGATGGATAAGAGAATTGATAAGTAGATATTAGGCCAAGTGTTCTTTCATATAACTGTTCATTCTTCAGGGATAACATCTTAGTATTTCTCTACAGTTCCTTTCATGGTGGGTGGGGACCTGCAGGTGTCAATGAAGGCTGTGATCCACGAAGAGGTGAGAATAAAAACTTGGTTCGGATCAATTTCATCACCCCGGATCAAACTTGGAGAGTCTGGCACCAGGTGGTCCATTGTCAGTGTGTTTAAAACAGTACAATTTGGGAAAAAGTTTCCAGGCAACAATCATTTCCATTCCAGGTTTCCAGGCAACAATCATTCCGATTCCAGGTGCAGAATAAAGCTTTAGGTGTGAGCCTTTAGAAACTGGTTTATAAAGTACATGTGACCACAAGGGTGGGTTCTATAACCAAAAGGCCTAGAATCTAGTGTGGTCTCTGACTCAGATAACACACAGAGAGTCAGCAGACTATACAGTACACGGGACATCCCTCCACTAAGGAAGGGTTCTATTATCTGCGAGCTAGGGAGGGAGAGTCTGGAATAAACATTGTGGGGGATTTGAGTGAGGTTTACCTCTATAGAGGTAGACCCATCTACAGAGATCTGCTGCTCCAGATAGCAAAAAGTCACTGGGTCTTCAACGATATTCCCTCCCAGCTTTCTAGACAGTGAAAACAGGTATTTTATCTCCTCTGTCGAGGAGAGGTCCCTGCATGCTTAGCATTCTAAGGTTCCCTAGCAATCTGTGAGCATAAAGACCTTTGTGCCCCCAAAACTTACACATCTCAAACCTTTCGTTTACTTGCTTATGCCCTTAGCAAGAAACCCTCTGGGATCTACTGATGCCCAGCATATGATAGGGCTGAGGTTATAGCCAGGAGAATGCTGTCCCATCCTATGCAGCGTACAGGGCCTTACACAGGGTCAGCGTTGAGTAGATGTTGTCGGAATGTTTCTGCAAAAGCAGGAAACTGCAGGGGTGGGTGTCAGTCTTTGAGGAATCCACAGCTCCAAACACATTGACTTGGCATATGCACAATCCACACTTACCAATTCATGGGTTGACATTCTCGACAGAGACTATAAAAAGGAAAAATGCAGTACCCTGCCACAAAAAAAAAAAAAAAAATAGAACCGAGAGGAAGGAAGGGCAGCTACTGAGTGCGAAGCTAAGTGTGGCATTTCAGTTATTTGTTCATTTACATAGCCTCTCAAACTTTGTTTGAAAGTGGCTTTGTGTTGAAGAGGGAAGAGCCTTATACTGTAATTATGTTAGACAGACTTATAATAATTATAATAATTATCAACTGAGTGCCAATAATACTTTAAGAACTCCGCTGAGCGTAAAGATCATACTAGTGTCTAACAGGTATTTAAAATTAAGCTTTTTAAAATGGAAAGGGCACAGATTCAGCATTTTTCTATTTTTTTAATAAGCAAAGATTCTGACAAATAATTACCCCCTCCCCTTTGCCTCCCTGGCTAGAAACTTCTGTTTACAAGAAAATTTTTCACTAAGATGGTTCTGAGTCTATTGAGAATTTAAGCAATGCATTTTCTTAACATATTTTGAATGATATACTCTATTTGTTTGAAGAATATGACATCTGGTCAGATCTTTGGGCCATTTTAGGCTAGAAGACTTAGGAATCTACAGGTAAGTTTTCATGGGCATAGAGAGTCAGGCATAGAAAAAGCCACGCTTCGACATATGCTTGTGTTCCCCCTAGTGGACAGAAAAGGTACATGTTAAGAAAAACAATTGTTAGTTACCTGAGGGGGTGTTGCTAGGTACCTGTGGCTTACACGGTTTCATTCCCCCTTAGCATCTGTTCCTGAAAGCTGGGAGTATGTCGTCGATTAATAAGGTTTGATTAGCACTCTTCTTCCTATCTGGCATCCGTAGCAATTAAGGTGTCTCCCCTGCAGGCTTTCAAATGCAGCATGAAATTACGGCGAGCCTCTTTGTATCACTACTCAGTTTCTTCAAGACACTCCTCAAATGTCATCCTCATCTGGAACGATTTGGGTTCAAACTGATATGACAGCACCATCCAAAACCTGAAAAGATTGGCTCTTTTTAGAGAATCTATTAATATCTGTGTTCATGGTGGCCAAATACTGGGGAAAAAAAATGCTTTTGTATAGTGCCCAAATCAGATTTCTGGGTGTGTTAGTCTTTGTCATTTTTCTTTTTTGACAAGTATCCCCTGCTTGTCGAGTGTGGCGTCTGGGATTTTTCTCCACACACACACTTGTTGATTACAGACATGTTAAGACA